GGGGGGGGGGGGGGGTAGGCTAGACAAGAGCACCCGCTGGTGACATGCCCAGGGGTGGTTCGGGCCCTCGAGCTGAAATCCCACCACAGCCCCAGAGATGCGCGCAAATATTACGTTACTACATATCGGCGCAGTAAAATGCACTTAAATCATGTTCAAACAGCGCTAAAATGAAGAGTTTACTGGTTACCCACCACACCCCAGAATGCGAGGCAGTGCCCACATTCTGTAGTTGCCCACATATGTGCAGGCACGGGTAACTCACTGAGATCGGGTGCTGGCGCAGAGATGCGCGGCAGTGCCCACATTCTGTAGCTCCGACACACGTGCAGGCACGGGTAACTCACCAAGATCGGGTGCTGGTGAAGGCGGGGTGGCACCAGGCAATCTGACCCGGGCCTTGGCGCCCACATCCTCAGCTGGTTGCATGGAGTCCCCACGTCATGTCTCATCGGTTCCAGCTGAGTCATGTTCTTCCCGACCTGGGCTCTGTGGCCAGTGGGGCGGCGGGGGTGGCACCAGGCAGTCTGACCCGGGCCTTGGCGCCCACACCCTCAGCTGGTTGCATGGAGTCCCCATGTCATGTCTCATTGGTTCCGGCTTGGTCATGTTCTTCCTGACCAGGGCTCTGTGGCCAGTGGGGCGGCACCCCGTCCTGAGCCCAGGCCTGGCACACGGAGCTGGGACCTGAGCCAGCCCGATCCAGGCCACTTGCGTGACAGTGAGGAAAGGAAGTCAGGTGAACCTGTGGGAGAAGGGGCGGTGGAGCAGACACCTGGGACAGCCAGCACAGCAGAACGCTATCCCAGTGCCAGGAGAGGGCTGTGGTTCTAACAGCAGCTTGAGGGTCATCTCAAGGTCGAATGTGGAGGCAGCAGGATGGAGGCCAGAGTAGGGAGGCCCCGGGGAGAGTGGGAGGGTCACAAGATAGGGACTTATTCATCCATCCATCCATCCACCCACCTACCCATCAGTCTACCCTCCATCTACCTCCCATCCATAATCCATCCACCCACCTATCCATCCACCCACCTATCCATTCATCATCCCTCCATCCACCCACCTACCCTTCCATCATTCATCCATCCACCCACCCACTTGCCTTTCTATCCATCCACCTACCTACCTACCCATCCATCATCCCTCCATCCACCCACCCACCTACCTTTCTATCCATCCACCCACCTACCTACCCATCCATCATCCATCCATCCATCCACCCACCTATCCATTCATCATCCCTCCATCCACCTACCTACCCATTCATCATTCATCCATCCCCCCACCTATCCATCCCCCCATCTGTGTACCCTCCCATCTACCTACCATCCATAATCCATCCATCCACCTACCCATCCTCCATCCACCCACCAGTCATCTCCATTCACCGATCCATTCATCTACCATCCATCCATCCATCCACTCGAATTTATTCATTTATCCACCCATTTTCTCCTCCATTCTTCCATCTACTCGCTGACCTGTCGTCCATCCATCGGTTTGCCCTTCCAGGTCTCTTCTGTGACCTGTACCACTCCCCATCCCACCTATCCATCCACCCACCTATCCATTCATCATCCCTCCATCCGCCTACCTACCCATCCATCATCCATCCATCCACCCACCTATCCATTGCCCCATCTGTGTACCCTCCCATCCACCTACCATCCATAATCCATCCATTCACCTACCCATCCTCCATCCACCCACCAGTCATCTCCATTCACCGATCCATTCATCTACCATCCATCCATCCATCCCTCCCCTCGCATTTATTCATCTATCCACCCATTTTCTCCTCCATTCTTCCATCTACTCGCTGACCTGTCGTCCATCCATGGGTTTGCCCTTCCACGTCTCTTCTGTGACCTGTACCACACACGTCCCTCTCTACCCCCCTCCCCCCACACACACATACCCATTTGCACGTCTGTGTAGCGGGCACTGACTCTGCAGCAGGCACTGCAATGGGAGCCGCAGGGATGAATGAATGAGAACCGCCTTCCCCAGCGCTGCCCTTCCTGCCCCCGACACGGCCTCTCCCCCGC